CCCCCCCCCCCCGTTGAAAATTTTATTCAATTTGTTTTTGTATAACATAAAAAAATCATTAACTTAGTCTGGCGATTTTAAAGTTTGGACCCTCCTTAAAGAAATCCTGTATCCGCCTCTGCCTTGTTTGGTTAAAGAGACTACTTCTGCCAAAGCGAAAAATTGTATCAATTGCATGGTTGTTAAAACGTGCATACCCGGGTTCTTTCGCGTACTCATTGAAATACGTTCCAAATATCGAGACGAGATTTCCGTGGGATCTTGGCTTCATGACTACACACAAGCCTATGGATCTCGACAACCCCTAGTTATCTATTTCAGATAAGATATATGCTTGTACATGGTTAACTTAATAGCAATGTTATTTAAGTAATATGCAAATTAGCTAATATGCAAATTAGCTAATTATCATATATGATGTCATAAATATTTGGGCAAATAGTGTTGTGAAGACTATATCTTCCTGAAAAAAAAACAATCACGCAATACATACAATTTTCTTTGAAAAATCAGCTTTGTTGGTAATTTATGAATAAGCAAATTAGCTAATTAGCATATATGATGTCATAAATAATTGGGCCAATCCACCATCTACATTTTGGTACCAACTTCACTTCTATATCTTCATATGTATTGAAAATATAGATCTTTTAATGATTTCATAATATTTTCAGGTTGCCATAGCAACATGTCAATTTTCACCACTTTTAGGGCATTTTCCGCCCTGGAAAATGTCAGATAATTTTGCGTAAGAAAAGTCTGTTTCCACAATGTTTGACGTGGGGTGCAGCTAAAACCGTTTTTAGAAGGCTTTTGAGAAGTAGCTTCCAGACTATAACTGGTTGTACTTTTACAGCAGAAAGGTGCTAGCCACACCACTGCTAGATTAAATTTTCATAATCATGGATTACATTTGAATAATCAGGGTATTAAGTAATGTAGTGTAAAAAATGTATTTGCATATTAATTACAATCTGCTGAAATATGTGTAAACAAACAGTGGCTATTGGCATTGTAAACATATATTATATCATAATATTACACTACAATAAATCTGTGTGTTTTAATCCAGAATGACATAAATATTATTTTCCCCAGTGGTGAATTGCTAGTCGCCAAATAACTTTCTGTTCACGTAACTTGTTTGTTTTTTTCTTCCAGATCTGGTGTATAGTACCGACTGGAAACTTTCATTGCAACTGTCTGGTGATTCATTATTAGAATCATCAGACAATGGGTCCTAATCGTAGCTCTGAATATAAAGTTTTTAACATGTCATTCAATGTAAATACAGCTGCTGAATGAGTAATAAGAATAGGTGTATTGAGGCAACACAGTCATAAAATCTCGGCTACATTTACTGTGGTGTCATGAGCCTTGCAATGCACACAAAAATGCGACCCTCCCCCTTATGCCTGCACAGATTACTGTAACCCTCCCCTCAACACTTGCATGAAAATCAGTGACCCCCCCAAAAAAACAAAAAAACAAACACCTACCTACCCCCTCCTGTACTTTCTGTCCAGTCCCTAATGCGATTTGTCCAATTTTGGTAAGGAATTAAGATAAACTATGGTTTTCTAAATGGTATCCAATATTATTTCCACTGTATTGTAGTTGTAGATTAGTAATTGTCCATCAGTTACTGTAAAATGTATTGTGTTCTCTAATCAACAGAATTCAAAATACATCACACTAAATGAGTTTTTCAACAATGGATTTATCCTTATTGCTGTTATCTGTACCGTGTTTCTTGTGTGCCCATTGTTGATTTCCTTGAGCTATCATACACTTTCTCGTGTATGTGTTAAGGTTAAAGTGGCACTCCAGGTATGTATAAATCACAGCTCAAAAGCTTGTAGTATCAGTGCAGCCAACATGGTGCATACATTCGCGTTGGTAATTAAAGAGATGAGTTTCTTATGTTGTTTAATCCATTTAATAATAAGTCAGAGTTAATTTGTTATCACATAGGTTATACTATCTGCCAAGAAGCATGACGCATATTGCTAGTACAATATAATTTCAAATAATATATTAGATTTCTTAGTTTACATGCATTTCTGAGCACAGTCAGCTAATTATGTTATGGCCAAAATTTGTAAAGTTTTTCTAGTAGTGATTTTATATCACAAGGCTAATTGTAGAGCGAATTATGCAGAGTAAGGCCATGTGAGAAATACCAACAATATACTTCATATTTGTCATAGCATAAACATCATCTAAATAACAGTAACAACCCACATTTGTTCATATAATGTGTTTACTGAAACATAAAAACCAAACATAGACTGTGCCTAACCAGGCTAAAATAATATCAAGACGATTACTGATTGAAACAACAAATCATGAATTAAACATACCAAAACACATAATAATCGCTATGCAGAACACGAAAAAGTATACATAAAGTAGACTAAAAACCACAAACAGTTAGTAGAACAAAGTTTATTACCATTAAGCTAGAAATAAACACCAGAGAAAAACTATCCTATCAAATAGAATGATTGTTGAAGACTAGAGCACATGGGAGAGGTGATACCATCTTGAAACAGTCGGATTGATGATATTGTGAAGGTGAATGGCTCTGAGATCAAATTCATAATGGGCTTGGATAAAAGGGATTTCATGTAGACAGAATAGGGTTAGGTTAGGGTTTGACAGATTGACCACAATTATTGTTAATTAGGACAAATAGTAACGTTGTTTGATGTATAGATCAGTTCAGGGTAATGCCAAGTGTTTAAGAGCAAAAACAAACTGTCAACAAATCCTGACAATATATTATTTGAACAATAGTATGAATGTTATGTGTAGGCAAGGGAAAACGAACAAATTCATTGACTGTGATGATGATATTGCCCATGGGGCGGGCTTATGTGCACAAGGCAGTTTTCATTGCAGACCATGGCTGAGTGAGGATCATAGAGACGCCATTGTACTCATTAAGTATGCCATCAGTGCAAGTCAGGAAGACTAAATTTTAGACTAAATTTTCGAAATAATATTTACAGCTCCAGAGTTGATGGTATGCACACATTTATAGACAATGTGACAAATGCATTCATTCATCGAGTTTACAGTGGAACAATTTATTTTAAACTCCTAGCCTGATTACTCACTGTAGTAGGGAAGTCGTTGTGTGAAACATCTGGAATAGCAAATTTATAAAAACGTGTCAGCACTGTATTGAACTTGCTTATCATAGACTACATTGTAAACATCAGCTGCACACGCACGTTAACCCAGCTCATCTTCAACTACTTTCTTCAAATAAAATGTTATCAGATGACAGGCAACCTGCATTACAAACAGATTGCGACTTCAATTAAAGAAATCTATCAGTGCCCTTAGAAGGACTGGTTTCTGAGTTTACCCAAAAAAACTCAAAACAAAATTAAAGACATGCACGATACTCACAGAAAATAACGTAAATAATTACCCATTCTTCAACGTTATTAAAGATATTTACAGTCAAACGATAAATAGATGTATTGGCAAATGAATACATGGAGCTGCATTGTGCTGTGCATAATTTATATTACATAAGGCATATATTTTGACCAATATAAGCATTATTAAATTTGATACGTGATGTTTTACATTGTTTCAATTACCTTTATTGAAAACAAAAATCCCTACAACACAACACAGTATTGTATGTTTGCATGTCATATAAATGTCTGTAAAATGTTATATGTTATGTTTTATTTCATGCAGACAAACATAACACTTATCCACAATGATTGTTTCATTCCTCAATCAGATACTTATTTATGACAAAGCACTGAAGCTATCATTATCATCTATGTCATCTGGAGATACAACTGGACAAATTGTGAATCTTATATCTGTTGACGTTGCTGCAGTGCAACAAGTAATACAACACATGGCCTTTATTATTGCCACACCCATTAATGTGAGTATTATCGAATTACGGGGAAATTCTTCTCCGCTGGGTTCTCCACACGTGCCAGGGGGGGGATATCGTCTGTCTCTATGTCACGTCTGCTTGAGGTGCGGGATCGGGAAAGTCACTTAAGCTTTACAGTCAAATAGACACACACAACCAAATACGTATCAACTCTCGTCTTTAGTCGGTCAGTCGAGTACTCTATAAGACACAGCGCCCTGGGGAAAAGTTTCCAAGACTATCGCAATGCTGATCCAAGACTTTGGTGGTGTTCTTACCAAGACTAACTAAAACGCCTTTATTCACTTTCAAAACCTTAACCAATTACAAAGCAGTTTAAAGACTCTAAAGCGTGGCCTTCACACATTCAACTTGCAGATAGCCAATCAAACTAAGTACTGGACACGTCATATCTTTTGATTAATCGTTCACTATATCACTAACTGCGAATACCCAACTGTCAGAAATAGCGGTCCGGATAACGTCGGTTATATCGTAATTAGTTCCAAATCAAGTTCCGTCCAGGACCTTGCATGAGCCTAAACGATGACAGACATAACACAGCCATTCACGAGTAACCAGCTAAATAAGTCGGTCAACAGATACGCGAAAACTAATTCATGACAGTCCTACCAATTGTACGAATAACCCATGTGTAGTCGGAGTACTCCAGTTACCACAAATAATAAATAACAGAGCGCGCAAGACGTTTTATATAACTTTTTTCGTAACGGAGTGTGCTTATCATGTGCTTACTGTGATTTAAATTTATGCTACCATCATGTATGACTAAAATATGTTCAAATATGTAAAGTATCAACAGGAGCAATGACCACAAATGAGCAATGACAACAGATTTCGAACAAGTGGTAAATCATTGTTTGAAATACTATTGGCGAGATAAGTTAATGTATACTTTGTAATTATATATTTTATAATATATAGATTTATTTTTTTAAATTTTAACTTGTATTCGAGCGGAACACCCAGGGCAGAATTCACCCGTCATTAATACATCATTAATTGATTGATTGATATATCTATCATTCGATCATTTCCTCTTGTAGTGAGGACACGTAATTGCATCCAAGTTACCATCGTTGTGGTATTAATAAACACGTACAATAATTATAATCACACTATTTATATTACAGTTAATTCTTAGCTTTGCTTTTCTTGTCTGGAAATTGGGAATTGTTGCAGTTATGAGCCTTGCTGTATTCCTTATTGTTATACCATTGCAAATCCGATTGATTCAAACACAACAAATTGCTCAGAAAACGTATTTGGTAAGTATTTATGGTGCATGGTGTTTTATATCGTTGTGAATGTATTAGATTTGTTGAGTCTAGCTCAGTGTGTAAAACAATCATTTTTACACATGTACATTCAAGTCGAATTCAGCACAACAGGATTAATTATATTTTGTAGGTCATTATAATATATTGATATATTCCGTATGAAACCAACATTAACCAGCCAAACCATATTAAGCTGGTTGATATGTTACTGTATGATGCCACGAATCATTACACGAAACAGTTTGGAAGAGTGTAAATCGCGATGGCCCAACTTTTAAAATGTGATAAATAAATTGTTGTTGAAAATGGCTAGTCAGTTTTTACTCAAATAGATAGTCAAATGACCACAAAACTTGGTCGATACTCTCGCTGGACTGTCTTCCTGTATACCTTTTAGTATCCATGTAATGACCTCATAGTATACACACTTGGTGTGGCAAACAGTAATTATAATAACCTTAACAAATTGGCTTGCAGTAAGCAGACAAATACTTCAAAACTAATAATAATCTTAGCAAAACAGTAAGCTTGGCAATAAGAACGCTTTTTGCAAACTTAACACTTTGTTACTCGGCATGGAGTTTGCAAATTAGCCTGAAACTATACATTTATTGTTGAATTTCATAAATCATTTGTGTCAGACACGAATAACCTGTAAATAACTTTTCAGTTACATGCTGATGCTCGAATAAAGAAAGCTACTGAAATTCTGCAGAGTGTGAAAATACTAAAGATGTATGGATGGGAAGAACTGTTTGCTTCTACTATTAAGAATATACGTGGTGATGAAATGAAACAAATATCTGTCGTTGGTTTACATACTTTGTTCTCAGGTGATTTATATAATAATTAGTATACATTTAACATACATTTAAAATATCCTGAAGTATATTATTAGGTAATGAGTGTCCTCCGTATGACATGATTTTCTTAATTACAGGCGGTATCGCCAAAATCCTGCCAGTTATCATTCCGTTGGTGGTAAGTCATGATTTATCTTCTGAAAAATGGAATTTATTCTCAAAATCAAACTATGTGTAATTGACTTCATACGTTAATTTTTTATGTATCTCGTTTCAATCATGAGAACCACATTACTCGGCTATGCATATAATCGCGTCAACTGTTTCCATGATCACTGTAATATTGGTAAAACGCAATGACAGGAATATTATTTAATGGGTGAAAACAATTCAAGTACTTATATTTCACTCTCAACGTTTTCTCGGCGGCCATTTTTATTTAAGGAATAGTGTGATAAATAACGGTCGTTTTATGATACCACTGTTTAATTTAAAGTTTCTATTTTCAGATATTCGTTTTGCATTTGGCAATTAGTTCAACACCACTCACACCTGATCTAGTATTTACCGTTCTACCACTGGCAAATATGTTGATTGAAATACTATATATGGTTCCCTTTAATATTGCATGTGTTACGGAAGGATTGTCAAGTGTAAAACGAATAGAATGTTTTTTATCTGATGATGATGATGATGATGATTCTCGACCGGAGTGTTATAAAAAAGAGGACATAGAGAACGATGACAATATCGATGAAGTCTGTGAGGTATTAGTAATATTTTATATTTTATTTGTTCGTATAAGAACAATGCTTACATGCAATATGATATGATAATCAAATAATATTGGTGCGAAACTTACATCCACAACTACCCTCCGAACAACCGCAGTAGTTTATGGGGAAAAAAGATATAAAATATTTCAACAACAAAAATTAAAAAGTCTTAATATGAGTTGGACAATGTAACAATTAAGAATTAAATCAACATAATTTTCAATATTAATCCAACCAATAAATGTGTTGGTGATATAAATTTGCAAATCAATATCACTTGTTGACACTGCATTGTGATGATATAACGCATAACGTCTCAACTTACAATATGTATTTGTTTAGTATCTATACTTGAAAAACGAACCGAGTGATGTCATGCCATTGGTGTCGAGTAATAAACTTCTGAGATATGATGCAACCAGTGATAATCGAACATCGTTGATGGTGAAAACAATTACAGAACCTGGAACAGCTGTCAAGGTACGTCTGTAACTAATTCCATCCAGATAAATCAGCACCTATCTGTTCAACATGTTGTGCTAATACTGTCATGAACGTTCTTTCGGGTGGCAGTGAATTTACGTGGTTGTTGAATTTTATATATCCCCATCAAGTACAGACGTATTACTCAGATTTCAGGTCCATGTGACTTCCAATTGAAGCTGTCACATTGGACATTAAGTCATGAGTTGGCATACTTATTATGAAAAAGTAGTAGATTGAAATGTACTCATTTTATTCCCAGATAGAGAATGGAAACTTTGGCTGGGGACACAGCGAAAATATACTAGCATTGAAAAATATAAGTATTGACATTCCTACAGGTATGTGTAGTTCAGTACACAAACTACATTTACGTTTAATTATTCAATCGTGTGAAAATTAATGTGTCTTGAAATAGTATACAAATGTCGTAATTTGTGGTAGTAGTTGCCATTTGGGTGATGTTGTGAAGTTATTATAATCACTTTCTGCACTATTGTGTATTTACTTGGAATAATATCATTCATGTATTTTTATGATTTATACATGTTATTCTATCATTCCTTTTCACATACATTAAACATAATGTTTCGGAGTTAGAAATGTAGGAAACTGTTGCATTTCCCCGGAGTTTGTACAGTTGACGCATTATTCTTGGTGAGGATAGTTTCTATACATGTCACGTTAGTTTGTTTGTTGACTAGCAATGTAGACACTGTTAATATTATGTCAAAGATTTATAGTTTTTTTAGACCGTCACACAATATGTCATGTCAACTGTAAACACTGTTAAACCAGTTTTCCAAGGCATATCAAATGTGTTACATTGCTTTTGACGTGTCGTATAGTCATAATTTTTCTTTTGAAATGTTTTAATAGGAAAACTTACCATGGTCATAGGTAAAATTGCTTCGGGTAAATCATCTCTTATAATGGCTCTTTTGGGAGAAATAACCGGATATTCAGGTTCGGTGGAATACAGGTGCGTACATAAAATGTTATTCCCATTATTGTACGAAAGTTCTGTAAGTTCCGACCTGATACGGTCTCAGAAAACCCGCGTTTGAGGTGTTTCATCTTACTTAAAATTCGCCACCACAATCGTCACATATATATTTTCAGAAGCTCATTTAAATTTCATTCCGCTAGACTTCTGTCAATAAACCTGCAAACAATTTCTTCAGAGATAAGCCATTGTAATTCCTCTCCAAATGAAATACGCCATACGTCCTAGAAATGTCATGTCTTGCGGGAATGCACTACACGTGGATATGGGTAGTGGTAGTACTTGAATATATT